AGCTAGGAGAAGTTGTGCTGCACCCTCCCCTTAACAGTAGCCTTACCCTTGCCTTTTGCAAGGTGTTAGCCTATCGAACAGGGCCATATAAATGACATTGACACTTCCACTTGTAATAACCCTGTCGTTGTTCAGCGGGCATTTAGGGTTCCGCACCAATTTAATCGCGGTAGCTTTTCGTGTATCTTCTAGGCGCATTCATGCTGGTTGCTTTACGCGGATGTTGCTTCCTCGCATAACTTGTGTGGAGGCTGATGCTAGCTTATGACCAGTATGTTCCGTTAGGGTCCCTTCTGTGCCTGCACCAACAATCGGCGACAGTGGCAACAGTGGCAGCCAATATTGTACTTCAAGCGGCACAAATTGCTCTGGCCAGAGGTAGTTGTGTTGCAGACGGGGCAGTACACCAACGGCACAACGATTCGGCGCAATGTCTAGACTCACGAATTTTGGGGGTTCTACGGGCTGCGATATACGGAGTTGCGGCGAATACCGTTCTAGAGAGAGAAAATGCTTTTGACTCCAGTAGGCGAGAAAACGACCTTAAGAGAAACGCTCAAGCTGATGCCTAAAAGTTTGCAGCTAATTGGCGGTAGCCGGATGGGTACCAATACCGGCCAAGGTTTCCTAACGGCTCACATACCTCACACCAGAAGGCCTTGAAGGCAATACGTAAGTCCTGTTGGCCCTGGACGAATAAGGTGGGACCCTGTGCTTAGCCCTGTGCTGGTTAAAAAGCACGGGTATTGCGCTGATTCGACAGTTGGGCGTGAAGAAAAGGTTTCGAAGTGGTGCGTGGAGTGGCGCGATATTGTTTCGGCTCCGACAAAAACGGGACTACGGTGACCAATCACCCTACAGAAAAAGTCGAAATTGAAGAAGTTGTGGCAGCTATCAGAGTTTCTCCTAATTCAACAGGTCTACCCAACGAAGGTGTAGCAGCTAAGAGCGAGTTTCCGAAGCTGTGGAGTCTTAAGCGCGATAGGCACGGTGTGCAGCGAAGCGGCCGGCTGAGAGTTTGATATAATAAACTCGCTCCGACTACGATAGCGTTTGCGCCTTCATCAAACGTCATAAAAATCGCTGGCAATACCAAGTATACCTCATCCGACAAAAGAGGACGCTAGGTGAACGGCGACAAGTGAAATTGTCGAGGGGTGAAAACCAAACATAAGAGGGAAAGTTGTGGGTGCTCTTTCAAGCTTCTTGAGTGCGGTTGAGCCTGTGCACAACTTCTCTGCAAATTCAGGGTTTACTTGGGGACTCTTGAAGGGGTCAGTTTTTACGTAAATAGGCGCGGCGGAGGTGTGCATCGCCAAGGATACCAGGGATATGTCGCGTGTAATTCCGGCGGGTGTGGAGATGGGTGAACGTCAGATCACCGCGAAAACGTCGGAGCTACTCGGTGGAAAAGACTTCGGGGCTTGCTCCCGCAACCATGTTTTTCAGGCAAGATTTCTACAGTGGGAGACGGGTGAACGTCTTCTCAGCAGTTGTTTAAGCGATTTAAAGTGTACTTCAAAAGTTACCTAGAAAGTTCTACGGCGAGATCTTCGACGTTGATGCGCGCTAGAGTCCGTGAAAATCGGTCTCAGAAGAGCCATAAGTACTGGGTTCCATGCCAAAAAATCACCTTCTATTGGTGGGTCGCTTGGGTGGTTAACTGCACGAAAAATATTGTGACCGGGTGGGCATGCTAGAAACACTTGTTCTTTTGTATAACAACCTTCAGGCGACCGAGATTTACGTGGTGTGGTTCATTTCTAGCATTTGCGGGTGCCACAAGCAGTTCCGAGGATGAGTCTTAATGGAGTCGGCGGGGTCGGTGATAGTATCCATGCCAACGACAGAGTTGCAGTGGTGCTTGATTAAGCGCACGAAAGAACCCATCATGAAAAGAGTACCTGTAAAATTTGGAAGCTGTTCGGGGGTACCAGCGACAACACCGTGATCATTTTCCCATCAGAAAGGGGGAGAAGGCGACAACTGTTTTCGCCCCTGCCCGGAGGTTCTCTGCGAGTCACGACAACGCCACCGAGGTAGTGTAAAACTGTTATCATGTTCATATTGTGTAGGATGTAGTGGGGTACAACCCAATCAGGGTTAGTACTTGTACACAGTTTCTTGTCAATGCAATCATTCTCGTTCAGTTTTTTTAGGGCCCACCGGGTATTTCCCTGCCCAAAGCGCTCCCCCACAAGTCGCGCTGCCCTGCCCTGCCCGTCGCGCCGCCCTGCCAGCTGCGCGCCGCCTTGCCCCGCCCGTCGCGCCGCCCTGCTGGCCGCGCGCTACCCTGCCCTGCCCGTCGCGCCGCCTTGCCAGCAGCGCGCCGCCCTGCCCTGCCCGTCACGAAGCTGTAGTTGCTCGTTACTCCTCCCCTGCCACTACTGCTTTCGGCTGCCTTATACTGCCCTATCTTTTTCCCGAGCTGTCAGCCTTTGCCACAGTCGACGACCTCATCACCCACCTTCATACTAGCAACACTCGCTACCGCGTCGCGCTCAAAACCGAGTTTCAAGAAAATAACCCCCACCCCATGTGCATTACTCTCTAATTCATCATCACCCGCCTCCCTGACTCTCTTCGCGCAGTCAGGGACCACTTTCTTGCCCTTGACCCCACAGACATCACTGTCGACCTGCTTGAGAAGCACCTCCTTGCAGCTGAGGCTAGCATAGTCGCTGTAGGTGCTGCTCGTGGCACTCCTTGCACTCCCTTCTTTGAGGGGTGTTCCCCCTCCCCCCTTGCCCCCTCATTCGCCTCTGCTGCTGCTGTTGACTTCCTTCGTGCTGAGGAGGTCGGGGCTGCTCTGCTCCTAGTGGGAGGCGCCGCAGCGGCAAGGGCAAGGGAGGCAAGAGTGGTGGGGGTGGCAGCGGTGGAGGCGATGGTGGAGGCGGTGGAGGTGGTGGAGGTGGCGGTGGTGGCGATGGGAGTGGTGGTGGGAGTGGGGGCGTCGGTGGTGGCGGCGAAAGTGGGAGTGGTGGCGGCGGTGGTGGCAGCAGTGGGAGTGGTGGTGGCGGCAGTGGTGGCGGTCGGGGTGGAGCCGCTCAGAGGGGAGGTTTTGGCGGTGGCTAGAGGCAGCAGCAGTAGCGTCCGCGCGAGACCCCTTCTCCCCAGCAGCTTCGTGAGTGGTTTGCTCAGCGTGGGGCATCTTGGGGTAGTGTTCGCTGCACGTACGTTATTCACACAAGCGACCATGCTAGTCAGACATGCGGGAAGATTGGTCACACACAGTACCGCTGCTTCTCCCGTCTTGACGACGCCTGGCGCGAAGAGTTTGGCGACGAGGCCGAGCTCTCCCTCTGGCTAGAGCTGCTTAGGAATGATGTGGATGCATTAGCTCTTTATTATGATGCTATCCTTGCTGCCATGTATGCTTTGACTGTTAGTGCTTAGGGGGACTGTTACCTGTGTGTGCCGCCCGACCCAGGAATAGAGGTTGATGCTCTAGGTGCTAGTGAGTTTGCTCTCTCTGGTACTACACCTGCTGAGGCCTTGCACACCTTCATTCTTGACTCATGCTTCCCGCTGTTTCTTTCACAACAGTACCATTGCCAGACCACTCCCTGCACCAGTTGCAGTCTCTCTGGCTGACCCCTCAGGGGGACCAGTTCTTGCACGTTCCTCCACTGTTCTCCCGTGTCCGGTGGTTCCGTCTGGCTCGCTCTCAGGTCTTCACCTCCCCTCGTTCTCTACAAACTTGGTGAGTACCGCAGCCCTCCAGGATGCGATGGTCACTATCACCACTCCTGGGGGTCAGCGTGTGTTAATCTGCACGTGTACACGGATAGGCCGTCACCTAGCCACGTTCACCCGTCGGCCTGGGTTGAGTCTGTACAGACTGACTACTACGCCTCCTCAGGTTGCTAAGTCTAGTCAGCTATCCGCCTCAGGTTAGGTAGCAGCCCCCTACTCGTGTCGCCTCCAGTCGCACCAGACTCTCCTTTGGAACCACCACCTTGGTCACCCCTCCCTGCCACTCCTCTGTGGCATGCACTCCCGCCTCCTTGTCTCTAGTCTTCCCAGGTCTCTGCCTCCCCTCCCGCCCACGATGCCCCTCAATGCCTTCCTTGTAGCGCGCCGCTCCTCACTCCTCCTCGTTTCCCCTGACAACTGGTCCCCTGCAGATTCTCCACATGGATGTGTGGTGCCCAGCCCGCGTCAGTGGACAGGGCCGCAAGCGATACTTTCTGCTGGTTGTTGACGACTACTCGCGTTATACAACGATCTTCCCCTTGCGCAGCAATGGGAAGGTCCCTGATGTCTTGATCCCTTGGATCCGCGCTGTCCGTCTTCAGCTTCGCGAGCGGTTCCTACATCTGCACTCTGGCAAAGGTGGTGAGTTCTCCTCCAACCTGCAAGACTTTTGCCGTGGGGAGGGCATCCTTCTGCCGCTATGTTGGAAAAGTCGCCAGAAACCATAAGCGCACTCCGTATAGTCGTTTACGAATATACGGTGTACGCAAGTAGTACGTATATTCGTTGGCGAAAGTTCGGGCTGACCCGAAAAAAAACCAGATTTCAATAGTCGCGCACGAATTGCGAATGTGCGACGCGACTCAAAATGTACGCACGTCCCACCCCAATTTGTACGCACGTCCCAACCACATTGTCACCCACACCTGTCAAAATGTGGGGACGTGGGAAAATTTGAACCGCACTGCACCCTATGCTATCGCGCGACTCCAACACACAAACACGAATGTCGTCAACCAGCGTAGGTGGTTCAACCACATCCTGGACTATAAGGTAAGCTCTCATTCCCGTCATCTGTATTATCTCTCTCCTCGTTCATTCTCTCTCAACACTCCCGCTCACCTGCACTTGATGTCGACTCCTTCTGGTACTCCCGCAAGTGCCACTAGTGAGGCTCCTAGTGTTTCGAATGACGCGACCATGGCGGACGACGAGGATGTTCCTGTGAACACCCATGTTATTTTTAAGCATTTCCTTACCTCTACCGAAGGTACCTCGAATGGTCCTGAGCGTACTCTCCGCATATGCCGGCACTGCGCCTTCCGTTGCGCCTTCCGTTGCGCAGGGAAGGGAAGAAGAAGGCGGAGGAGATGGCAATTGAGGTGTGTGCGGGTGGAGCGAAGAAGCAGTGCATCGAAGACATCTACGGGGAAGGGGCGTCGTGTGCGAAGGAATCGGCAGACAACGCCATCTGCCTCATGTGGGCGGCACTTCACCTCCCGGAGCATCTCGCCGATCACCCTCTCTGGCGCAACGCTGTGCGCTGCATCACGGACGCGGGCCATGGCTACGTTCCCCCGAAGCGGCGGTATGTTGGTGGCGTCGGCCTTGCGCGCTGCCGCGAAAAGATCGAGAGGGGGCTCGCTCCCATCACTGCGAGCTGGAAGCGGGATGGCATGACGTTAGGCTCGGACATGATGACGGACAAAAGTGGTCGTCCCCAAGCCAACATCCTGCTCATCAACAATTCCGGTGCAGTGTTCACCGAAAGCATCGACTGTAAGTTGGAGACGAAGACGGGAGGTTACATTGCATCCGTTTTGCGGCCGATCATTGAGAAGGTGGGGCCCGCCAACATAGTTGCGTTATGCATGGATGGGGGCAGCAATTATGCGGCTGCATGTAGGGAACTCATGCTTGAGTATCCTCACATTGAGCATGTGCCGTGCGCTACTCACGTCATGGATCTGCTCATGGAGGACATTGGGAAAATGGATTGGGCGAAGGACATTATGGCTAAGGCGGGGGTGATTATTACCTTTGTGCGTGCCCACCATTTCACCAAAGGTTACATGCGAAGCCCGCAGGTGAAGGGAGGGAAGGGAAAGCAGGTGCTGAAGCCGGCGGGCACCAGATTTGGCACGCAATTCATCGCGGTGCAGCGGCTTTGCGAGGTGCGGAGTGCATTGACATAGATGGTGCTGAGCCCGGAGTGGCAGGCTTGGGCGAAGGGGAGGAAGCCGCCGGTCGTACCCTTCGCAACCATGATCATGGATGCCGTGTGGTGGAAAGGTGCGGAGTTCTTTGTCGCCCTCCTGAAGATCCCCTTTGTTGTCATGCACAAGACCGACTCGACGGCCAAGGGCATAATGTGCAGGATGTACGATCTGATGCTGCAGCTCACAGAAGACATCAATGCGAAGCTAGAGGAGGAGGAGGCGGGATTGGTGCTGTCCAGCAGTGAACGCACGGAGGTGACCAACATCGTCCAAAAGCGCTGGGACCATAGCATGGCGTGTGCCATGCACGTAGTTGGCCGGATCCTAAACCCCGGTCAACCAAGAGGAAGGCATCTTCCGCACCGACCTGGAGTGTACTCGCGTCTTCAAAACGTTTGTCGCTCGTCACTACGCAGGGCGGACCGTCACGCGCAAGGAGGGCGAGGAGCTCCGCGCATCCCACGTTTATCCAGGACGACCTGACGGCATTCAACACCCTTCAGGGGAGCTTTGGCCTACCCGACGCCATCTCTGACCGTGAGCTTGTAAAGGCCGGTAAGAAGACGGCCGTCCAGTGGTGGACGTGGCACGGGACAGAGCACCCCGAGCTGACAACGCTCGCTTTCCGCGTTCTCTCTCAGCCAGTGTCCGCATCGGCGTGTGAGAGGAACTGGGCAGTGTGGGAATCGATCCACACTGCCAAGCGCAACAGGTTGGGGTCCGAGAAGTGTCGGGACCTCGTGTGTGTTGCGCACAATTAGAACATTGTGCGCAACTGGCACAAGGGGGCTGAGTGGGTGACGGTTCTCCCGGGGAACATCCCTGAGGCCTCCCTGCCGGAAGGGTACAACGAGGTTCTGGAGGAGGATGAGGAGGAGGGGGAGGAGGATGAGCAGGAGGATGAGTACAAGTAGAGGAGGAAGGAAGGGACGGGGGGAGTAGAGGGTGGGAGTAGGGGGTGGGGTAGGAGAGATGCATGTTGCTTGCTTTGAGTAGTTGAGAAAGGTGGGTTTTTTCAATATATGAAATTCGGTAAAACCACCACTCTCCCCCCCCCTCCTTCGGCGGTTTTTTTCGTCTGCCCGGTAAAAACCTTTTGCTGCCCGGGCAGCGTACTTTCTGCGACTTTCAAAGTCACTCACGAAGCGCATAACGCACTATACGCAAGCGTATATACGCTTGCGTATAATGCGCTGGGCGCGACTTTTCCAACATAGTTCTGCTGTTCACGCTTCAGGCCTCCCCGCAGCAAAATGGGGTTGCTAAGCACCGCATTGGCTTAGTAATGGAGGTGGCTCGTATCTCCATGATCCATGCGGTTGCTCCACATTTTCTGTGGCCGTTTACGGTCCGGTACGTTGCGCATCAGCTCAACATCTGGCCCCGTGTCTCTTTGCTGGAGACCTCGCATACACTTTGTTGGATGGGGGAGGTTGGCGATGCGTCAGTGTTCCGGGTCTGGGGCTCTCGTGCCTTTGTCCGCAATACTTCCGCGGACAAGCTCTCCTCCCGCGCCATTCCCCGTGTCTTCCTCGGCTTTCCCCCTTACGCGCGTGGCTGGCAGTTTTACCACCCCACCACGCGCCGTGTCCTTCCCTCTCAGGACGTCACGTTTGACGAGTCGGTTCCCTTTTAATGTTTCTTCCCCTACCGCACTGCCCCTCTCCCCCCCTCCCTCGCCGCTCTTCCTCGCTCCAGGTCCCCCTCTAGTAGAACCCCTCCCCCCTCAGGTGCTTGCTCCTTCAGGTGTGTCTCAGGTAGACCCACTCCCCTTAGCTGAGCCTGTCGAGGTCACTGGCGACTCCGGTGCTGTTGGGGGTGGTGCTGCTAGGGGTGCTACGTCTGGGGGTGCTAAGCCTGCGGGTGCGGAGCCTAGGGGTGCTGAGCCTAAGCGTACGGAGCCTGGGGGTGCTGAGCCTGAGAGTGTGGAGCGTGAGACTGCGGAGCCTGAGGGTGCGGAGCCTGGGGGTGCTGAGCTTGAGGGTACTGAGTTTGGGGGTGTTGAGCCTAAGGGTAGTGCGTCTGCTGGAGGACCTGCGGGTGCCTCGCCACAGCAGTCTCGCCGGCGAGAGCCTGTCTCACAGCCGCAGCTGCGCGAGTGGTTTGCTCGGCGCACCTGCCTTCAAAGTGGCGCTGTTGGAGCTGGAGGCCCTGCCGCTGTAGGCACTAGAGCTGGAGGTGCTGGAGCTGCTAGTCCAGAAGGTGCTGGAGGTACTGCTGGTGCTGGAGGCGCTAGAGTTGGAGGTACCGGAGGTGCTGGAGCTGCTGGTCCTGAAGGTGCTTGTACTGGAGGTACTGGAGCTACCGGAGCTGGTGGTATTGCTGGTGCTAGAGGTGCTGGTGCTGCTAAAACTGGAGGTGCTAGAGTTGCTGGAGCTGGAGGCACTGGAGCTGGAGGCGCTGGAGCTGGAGGCGCTGGAGCTGGAGACCCTAAAGCTGGAGGAGCTGGAGTTGGAGACCATGGAGCTGGAGGCGCTAGTGCTAGAGGCCTTGGAGCTAGAGGTGCTGGCGCTGGAGGCACTGGAGCTGGAGAACCTAGAGCTGGATGTGTTGGCATTGTGGGTGCTGGAGCTGGCGGTACTGGTGCTGGAGGCACTGTGCAGCGGCGACCATTTTTTGTTCTGCTGCCACCTGGCTCGGTACTTCACCAGGTACTTAGTCTCCCATCTTCTACTGGCCTGACCAGTCGCAGCCACATGTACAGCCAGACTCCCAACTGCCTGCGCCTTCTCGTTACACTGAGCAGACAAACTCTCTTATAGAGCATCATGAGCCTGAGTCTCGTCCCGCCTCGCCTATTCGCACTGTTCGCACTGGTCGGCGTGTTCCTCGTCCGCGTCCTCCTCCTGTCCCCGGCACTCACACTATGGCACTTCGTCCTTCCTCTCTTTCACTGCGAGTTTGTCTGCCGTCTCCTCCTGCGTCCTCACTTCCAGACGTTCCTGACCCTAAGTCTAACCGTGCTCGTGCTGCTAGACCCACTGTTACTCGTGTTCTCGCCACTCTTGTCGCAGACCCTACTTTTGATTCTGCTGCTACCTCTGCCTTAGTCACTGAGCTTGTTGACTTTGCTGCTGCGTCTCCTCTCGACTACGTCGCGAGTCTTGTTGCTAAGTCTGAGTTTGACTGTCCTCCGTCCGTCGGGGGGTGAGTGTGCCCTTGACACGCACGTCCTAGAGGTCAGGCACTTTGAGCTCGAGTGTCTTGCGGCTGCTGAACCTCATCTCACTGCCATGCTGCTTGCCCCTGAGGGAGATCTGGATGCATCAGAAATCCTGACCCCGCGCTCTTACGCAGAGGCGATCTGTCGCATAAGATTGGAAGTAAATTCGCAATCACATGCAACCAGGAAAGGAGTGTGAGAAGGGGGTGAAAGTGAATAGCAAAGCAGAGGATGTAACGCGGACCAGCGGAGAGTTGGGGGAGTCCAGCTGGTAAAGTACCGTGGAAGGGGGTGCGAGGTTGCAACACGGCATGCAGCCAGAGCGCATGTACAGTGATGGGTGTGAGTGACGAGGGTTTCAAACGACACGGCAGGGGAGCTCTGCCAGGATGGCAGCGAGTGGTGCAGATTATACCCTGTACATATGGTGGGCTGTGATGTGCGGTTACGATTGCCTGCATGTCGGATGACTGTTGATTGCTTGCGCATGTGTGCAGGAGCAGGGTCACGACCAAGCGTGGTGGCAGGCGTAGGATGAGCTATGCCAGTTCTTTCGTCTACATAGGTTGCTAGCCTCAATTCCTAACTTGCTTCTTTGTATGTTTTCTCGTTTTACTAGAATGGTGTGTGCAAATTTACCAAGCATTAACTAGCCAGTCAGAGGAAACCGTCGATGGGTTAGTGGCTTTTTCGGCATACAAAGAAGAGTGGGGCGGCCACATGCCGCTGAGATCCGGGCGGACGTACCAGTAAGAAATTTATGGAGGTAACGAGACGTCGGACGAGATGCAAGAAGGCGCAGAGCAGGCAAGCCGCGGAGCGGCAGGGTCGGGGAGAGCGTCGGTGGGAACCAACATGAAAGAAGGAGAAGTCTATCGGATCCCGCCACGCAGGCGGAGTCAAGAAGATCTGCTGACGGTTAGGAAAGAGGACTCGACGCGGGCCAGTGGGGAGTCAGGAAGCGGCCCTCTGCAGCGAGCCGGCTCCGTGGAATGGCAGCGATGGACAGGCATGGAGCTGGTGGAAGGTTCCGAAGCGAGGAGAGAAGATGGATCCGGCCAGCGATTCGAGAAGTGGAAATACATTAACTTGCGTGAAATCAAGGTCCCTAAGAGATTCGTCGGGCAGGCGGGCGTGGGAGCAGATCTGCAAAATTACCTGATGCAAATCGATAACGTGCAGTACCGCTGGAGGCGAGATGGGCTGGAGGCGGAGGAGTTCTTCCGCGGGCTGTCGAACATACTATTGCATCACGCAGGAAGAGCTGATTGAGAAATACCGAAGCCAGAAGGGACCGCCGTGGGGCATCGTCGACGAGTTTCTGGAGAACCTGAGACGGCAATTTCCCATGCAGACACCGGAAAAGGTGCAGCAGTTCTCATACTTCGAGAGGAAAGGCGAGGAATCACTGCTGAGCTATTACGGACGCCTGCGGGAGCTAGTGTTGGACATGGAGTGTACGGACAAACGACGCCTGATCAGCAAGTTTCTCAACGGTCAGGATAAGAAAATGGTCAAGGAGCTACGAGGGAAGGTGTTCGAGATGGGATGGAAGGCTACCCTACATCAAGTGTATGATCTGGCGTGCAGATACGAGACCGGATCGAAGCTTTACGAGCTGGAAAAAGCAAAAACCAGCGGAGCAGAGCGCCGCCGGGGAGTGTGGATGGCCAGCCCTCAAGGGGAGATAAGAGCGTGCGACGAAAGCCCAAGCGCGGACAGGAGGAGATGCCACCGGTGCGGGCAAGTGGGGCACCTGCAAAAAGAATGTGCTCAAGCGCCGCGATGCGACACGTGCGGGGAGACGGGGCATCTACGGCGAGACTGCCCAAAAAGCCCCACGTGCAAGAATTGCGGAAGGAAGGGTCACAGAGAAGCGGATTGTTACGCCAAGCGCCCCCAAAAGGGAGAAGCAAGAGTAGGGGTGAAATCAAGGAAAAGATGCGGAAGCTCCGAGAACAGTTGGAGGAGATGGGAGGAGAGGATAGAGGCGTCGGGGCGATGTTTGTAACAACCGAAGAGGACGAGGAGACTCAGAGTCATGTGTCCTTCGTGCTCATGGCAAGGCCAGGAACCAGGCGAGAAGAACATCGGCAGCGGGGAGGTGGAGTGCTGCGAGCAGGCATGCCGGGAGGAGGATGTGCCAGGGAGCAACTGTGCAAGGAGCACCCAGAATTGGAAGATGAAGCGTACCGGCATCCGAAGGAGCGCATGCTGTGTCAGTCGACAGTGTTGGTGGCGGCAAAGGGATCAGTGGCTGTAGCCGGAATCCCGGTGGACATGGCCATTGTTGACACGGGCTCTCACCATGTCCTGATCGGTAAAGGGCTGGCGAAGCAGATGCAACTACACGAGGAAGGTTGAAGGAACGAGGCTTCTCCGTCATGACTGCCGAAGGAGGGGAACCGAAATGGTTGCCGTGTACACGTAGCACCGTGGAGATCGTGTTGAAGCCCGAAGAGAGGGATGAATGCCGCGTGAAACTGACATGCGGGGTGACTGAGTCTGAAGACTACGACCTGCTGATGGGGATTAGGCTGTTGTATGCGGTGGGAGCAACGATCTGCACGTGGCAGGAGAAAGTGATCTACCGGCCACGATTCTAGAGGCCAAGAGGGCCAAGAGGAAACTTGCCAGTGCGGTTCGTAAGCCAAGAACCAAAAGGAGCTTATCAGGCTAGGACGGTGGAACTGGAAGACCAACTCGGGGAAATGAGCTGGTACGAGGCCGAAGCAGAATTGAAGCAGCGGG